AATTTGTTCATAATGGGACCCTATGGAGAACAGAGATTCGCTGTGAGGCTGGTTCACTGTACAGCCATGCCCCAGGAACGGATTGTGGCTGTAGTGAGGGGGCCCACTGTACAGTATTCAGGAAGTTTTGAGAATTCTGACCGAAATACCCACGAACATCATTCTCAAGTTACATACTGGGAACACTTCTGGAACAACACTCGATCTTCACAGAGAGGCGGAAGAACCGAAGAAGTTTGCGAGGAACTCACGGCATTTTCTGCTCTTTCCCGATTATTACAGTTAATCTGAAGGGGCGGATTTTTGGCGCATCTGAACTTTTTCCGAATGAATCCTTAGACCGAACTCGATTATCGTGTGCAATCTTGCTATTTGATAGAATACCCCAATTATTGCGGATCTTTTGCCAACTTCCGAATGATCCATTTCATTGACAGGTCGTCCGTTTGTTCTCAAAATGCATGATACGTACGATACACATCTTCTTGTTCGAATTATGAAGGTGCTTTTGATCCGATTGTCAGCGAACAAGTTCGCTGGAGATTCGGACAATGCACCGTTTCATGGTATGACCGCATTCATTTTCTTTGTTCGTGGGAACGATCGGAATTGAACGTCGATGACTGGTACAGTATGAAAAGAATGGAATTCTTGAGAAGTCTGAAGAAAAATGTTCATGCTCGATTGCCGCCAATTTTTTTCATTGTGGAAAGGCTAATTTTCTAGTGCTCTTGATCCGGTAATCATGAGAAATAAATATTTTTTTTTTGCGGTTGGTTGGCCTTCGAAGAGCTCGTTTCTCGTTTATATGATACCTGTGTGGTAGTTTATCTTATCGCGAAAAGCGTTGATGAGAGGCATTTAGGTCAAATTAATTTTATGCTACGAGGTGAATGGGCGTTTCTTGCGAATTTTGGACTATTTTAAGAATGAGCTGCATCGATCAGTGGTGTGTTTTGACGAGGGAACAGATACTTCACGAATTTTGCGAGATTCGTCAGTTGCTGCTTCGATCAGAGTTTTTGTTGTCAATTTTAAGGAAGTTCATGTATACGGCACTGATTTTCTGGTATTCGTGGGCAAGTTTTTCTGCAAACGTCATCTAAAATCCTAAGTTTAAACGAACCCAATTCGTTTCAATGGTTGTCCTTTTACAACGCAGTGCGTTGTCGTGGTTCTTGTGTCGAAGGCAACCTTGGTTTGAAATTCCGAAGTTTTACACGAAGTGAGTTTGATCAAATGCAGCCTTGATCCGAGTTTTGCATCAATTTGCTCAAGGGAAGGGGATTTTCTCATTTTGTGCAAATTTGTGGACCCCGTGGGCTCGGTAATTGCCCATAAAATCTCTTCCCGGAGCATTTTCTCGTCAATTTCACAATGATTGATTTCATTTTCATTTCGATTTGAATGCACAGTAATTATATTTTTGATGTTGAATCTTCGAGGTCAGTCCGTTTTGACTCTAATCGGCGTTCCAGCTTCCAAGTCAGCTTTATGGAAAATTGTGCTGATGTGTCTTGATGGTTATTCTATCATTTCGTCGTGAAATCTGGAGATATGAGACAAGCCCAGCTTCTTCGCTGTAATCAAGATATTACGAAGTTGATTACCTGGAGATTCTTGACTGGAGAAATGAAGAATTGTAGGGAATTGTAATCGGCGATTTTCTGGGCCTTGAATTGCGTCTTGAATTGAGTTGACAGGATGCTGAACATGGAGGGAAGGGGTTAATTTCCCCAATCTAGTCGTTCAATTTCTTTCAGAACACACTGAGCTGAATTTTTGTGTGTTTTTCTCTTTCCTGTGTGAATAATGTCGCAGAAAGAAGTCCTCAAGAACATTTTGAGTTAGGATGAAGGTTTTTAATTCATTGTTTCCGAGGGAAATCAGTCCGTGAACTTGAAAAAAAAAAAATTGTCATGGGGAGGTATTTCACTTGAAAAGGTTTGATTTTTCTAGGTTCAAGTGTATGAAAATATCTGTACATGTATTCCAGTCAATTAATCAAGATTTTCGGTCATTTCATTTCCATTTGCAGAACCCTGCGATTGAAGAAAGGATGCGTGTTGGAGACGGACTACGCGAATTTCCTTGCGCCCGGACTGGACGGGAGCTACCGGAAGAACGGGTACTTGATGGGCGAGCCGACAGAGAGCGGCCTAGGTTCCGTGGTGTCGCCGTGCGCCGCCCTGGAAGACCTGGCTGGGATCCCGTCGCCGGCGGCCAGCGAGGAAGACCGTCGGCCGCCGGAAACGAGCAGTCGATGCGTGCCCCTGAGCAAACTGTTTCAGAGGCGGCGGATCGTGCGAGTGCCGCCGCATCGGCGACCCGACGACGCGCCGCGGTCCCTGGCAGAGTTTGAGAACCCCGTTTTGGCGGCGTCCAAGATCCACGCTGCCATTCATCCGGTTCTTTCTTCCATGAAAGGTCAGTANTTCAGTCAATTTTGCTAATGATAATAATCCACGTACGCGCCTTCAACATGGCTGGTTGAGTTGTGACTGTGGTTCCTTGGGATAATTTCACAGTCTTCTAGAGACGGTCCCGCGAGGTTTAGCTTGTAGAATCATGTCAGGATTCGTATGTTTGGCCTTTAATCGAGGGCTTATTCTAGTTCTTATCTTTATTTTTATATTTATTTTTTGCTGATGGTTAGTGATAGCGCTTGATATCTTTTACGGCTTCAAGCAATTGCAAATAATTGGCTCGTCTCAATCGGCTGACCCGCGCAATTTGAAATGAGGCGAGTCAACTACGGCAAAAAAAAAAAAACGGCAACGGAAAGTAAAGCGATGCTGCTTGGGCGAAAAGTAAAGTTATTGACGTTGAGGTAAATTCGTGAACAATCCGGAAAAAGATTGTTGATTACTGTATACTGGAAGTTAAATATGGTAAAGGTAATGCAGTACAGTATTTGTGGCCTACTTTCAAATCTTCATGTCGGCTTTCTTTGAGAGAATATGTTGAGTAAGCTTAGCTCGATTTTAGCTTATGTGCTGGTTGCGAAGCTTAGCTTTGTGTTGATAATTTGCAAAGATAACCGTGTGGCTCGATTTAAACAATTGAGCAAATTTCCGTCACATCCGCCGCGTCCAAAGAACCGTTTAATTCAGAAAGGTGTCATTAGTACTCTACTCTACTGTATTTGAATTCTCGGAGTACGGTACTGTATACACACGTCTGCCAACTTGACGATGGTGTAAGTAACCCGCTTGTACCTTAAAAATTAATTATCCTTGAGACTGATACGCATTAGATCGGGTTCATTAAAAGCGGTTCAATTTTTAATAGGTGCAGAACAAGTTTATGTCTTCTTTCAATTAGCTCGTTATTTGCCTCTAGATACTATTCAGTTGCGTATTAGTGCTTTATGTGCAGTACAGTGTTTAAGTAATTACCGTTCGCAATTCACGAAGCTCCGAGCATTTTTCTGCTTCGTCATTATCGCCTCGAGGATAAAGATAGGGTCAAGCGATAATACTGTACTTTGACTTGTGAAGCTGAGAGTACATGGTTTTCAAGCATTATTTCCATGCTGCTTCGCTAATTAGTATTCGTGTTGTGATCTTTTCTTCCCTCGGCGTGAACGATGACCAATATGAGATAATCTTACCTGACTTTTTCAAATGTTCTTCATTATTATATCATCAAGAGTCGAAAATGTTACGAATTCTTCAAGCATCTGTCCTGGAATCGCTTTAAACCGATTATTACGTATCACCCGCAAAATTTCAGTCCTCGACGCTCCAAGAACCATGAAACTCATTCTGAAGAATTTTTCGTTAATAAACGGATTATAACACAGGTCCCTGGGAGTTCTTCGTAAAAAGATTTCATTACTGATTCTTGAGCATGTACCGTGTACAGTACTATACGATGCCCTAAAAGTGTTGTGCAAAATCATGACTCGCTTATACTCGCCGAAAACCGAAAATTTTTGCAGGGCGAGTTCCGGATTTTTTTTCTTCTTTCGGGCATACGCGTGGAGCAAACGGTATGGTTATTTTAAAATGTATGAGAGCACTTTTCACGATGGCGAAAGGTACGAATATGATGCAAAAGGTATGGAACTCAGAAAAAACTTTGGAGGGAGAGGATGACGTAATCGTAAGACAAATAATAATTACCGAAAAATCATGGGGGAAAAAAATCATGTCAAGAATCTACCCTCGGTTTGAAATTTTGAGTTACAGTATTATCGCTTGACCCAATCTGACTTCGCAGGACAATAATACTGTATCTTGACTAGAATTACACAAGAGCAGCTCGGTTGTTGCTCACTATTCGGATTTTGGTCGCAGTCTAGTGTTTATGGCCCTTTTTTTTATTCTCAGAAGGAAAAATGAGGCCTCTAATCGATGGGATATTTTCCCCGCGTGTATCGGGAAGAATTTCCGTCCCAGAAATTCAATTTAGTCAGGATGGAAGAAGAGCGACGTACATTCCCTTCGTGTGTTCGTGCAAAATGCGGAGACGCGACGTCTATGGAACTGGCGTTCAGCTGCGTACTTATTTTAAATAGTACTTTTTCCACATTTCTGCATCTCTCTCTCTCTCTCTCTTGGTTCGGAAGTACTTCCCTCCGGTTCGCGAGTCGACGAGAAAGGGAACTTGTTCGTTTTTCTTAAGCGTGGAAGCGGATTAGTGAAGTTCACGTTTGTATCCGCCGTTTCGAATCGGCTCGCTTGGGCCGTTGACTCCGGGGAATGGGTTCATCGTTCATGCGAATCTCATTCGTGTCAATCTTTGGAGGGTGGGGGTTCTTATTAAACGGAAAAAATTGTTTCATCGACTTTTTCGTCATTCTTGATTTGATTGTTTCGTAATATTTTCGTGCAAGCCTGTTTTTCAGCAACGGCGAAAATTCTTGTCTTTTTTCGTGTTTTGTTTTCGGTGCTGAGCGACTATTGTTTCAGAACAATAGAATCTGTTTTTTTTTCTTCTTTTGGCTGACCTCAAGTGTTATCGTTTGGACACGATTGTTTACGTTGAGTACAATGCCGTGTACTTTTTGTGTGGTGGGAGGTTTTGGGATAATGTTTTGTGCGAAAGACACGTTTTTGATAGTCAAGTGCTTTTTTTCGCCCGAAGAATTGAAAATTAATAGGTTTTGACATTTAAAAAATAATCTTCCGTGATCTACGTTCTACAAAAAGAAGGAAAATAATTTTAGCTCATATTTTGATTAATGTGAAATACAATTGGTCCCTGCATGAGGAGAAAACTAGCATGAAGTAAAATTCGCTGAAGAAAATTTCTTTCGGAGGAAAGCGTGACTCACATGAGGAATTCAAAAGGTTTCTTGGGATTTTTTGCTCTTTAAAAATAACTTATCCGAGACGAGAAAACTAATCTCAAATTTTCAACTGCCATACAATTTCAGCGCACAGTGGAATAAGTGGAAAACGTTCGCTGTAAGTTAAAAAGCTTTCAAATCTCATGCGGGACACTGCGAAAAGGCCTTGCAAATCGAAAGATATTACTAAAAGCTTGAAGCATGATTGGGAAAAATTATGAAATGAATTCGGATTTTTACCTGATTTAGAAGCATATTTTTTCTCCGCGCCTTGTACTCGGTCTGGATTGATAACCAGGGATTTCATTAAACATAGAAGGGCCGAATTCTTGTTTCCAAGTCCGTAAAATTTGAGTAATTCTTGGAAAGCAGGTGACTTTATTTCACGACTTATCCCGGATTCGTGTGAATCGTTCGAGCTTTAACCGCAACCGTTCCATCAAGAGCTCAGACCGAGGGTGGACGCGTTTTTGTGTGTATGTGTTTATTTTTTCTCTCTGATCGTCACGTTCCGAAGATGCGTTTACGTGATAGGAAGTACATTACGGTACAGGAAGGGGTGAATAGGGGTGTGTAGCTGAGGAAGCTGAACAGTTGCCGAGATGGATCGTGGTTTGCCTTCACTTAGGACGGGATAAAAGCGCGTTTTTCATTCAGTTAGCGCTTTCGCTTTTCTGCTCGCTCGCTCAGCCATCCACGCATTGGAAGCGTTCAAATAGACGTCTTGTTTCTTTCTACATTTTTTTGTTTCGTTTCTTCTCTTAAGCCGAAATGACATTGAAATCTTTCCGAGACTCTCTCTGTCTCTCTTTCTTGGGAAGCCCCCCGTCGGCCCCATCTTCCTCATCCATGTCGAAGATGACTTGTCAGGTCTTCTTCCTGAGGAAGTTGCTTTTTGGGGGGGGGGGGGGGGAACTCCATGCTTGTCCATATCCAGACTTCACTGGTATATACTGTACGAAGATACCGAGAAGTATTCTTCTTGGGCCTTCTCTTGCTATGTATTATTATTCTTTTTTTTCTCTGTGCGATGCGGGAAGTTTCCCTTCCATACGCAGGAGAAACTCGTTAGGGAAGTTTCCTCGCGGGAACACGTCATATGCTGCTGCTGCTTTCATGTCTCCGGAGGCTTCGGTTACGCTTCTTTTTTATTTATTTCTTTTTGTTCCTCCGTGCTTTCCGGTCTGTTCTCATGTTCTTTGGGCTGATCCCGTGATGGGCCTTGATGTATCATTTCTCTCCCGCTTATTATTATTGGCTTTCAATCCTCACCAGCTTTCCGGGAAGTGGGTATTACGTACATATTTTGGAACGACTAGATTTTTTTTATTACAGTATTTCTCTGTGGGGAGACATTAAACATCTGCATCAATGATGTCGTGAAAAAACGATGTCGCAGTCGACCAGTATACGTATGAGCTTTTCCGGGCTAATGACCGGGATTCTTCTGCTCGGATGATGTGTTTTAGTGGATATAAGATCTTGAGACGCACTGATTTATGTACAGAAAAGTTCTGCAAAAGTTTCTTGGGTTCGATGGCCTCTTTGGTTTACAAGTAAGGGCTTGATTCGGGCAAAAATTGTACAGCATGCTCTAAAAATTAGGGTAACCCACTTCGCAATGCACAATATCTGAAAAGAATGCGAACAGTTTTCGAATACTTTTAACAGAACACCCTTGGACGCAATGAAGTAAACCCACACAAGAACGCTTTCCGAACGAAATCCTGATGAAAAATCAGTTTTTGAAAACAAGTTTGTACCAAACGTTGTTTATTGTAAAAACGCTGGGGGTTAGGAGGGGTTTTTTCGTATTTAATGTCTTTAACGGAGACGATCTTGCGTGTTCTGGGTTGAGTGTTCCGGACGTATCTTCTGCAAAAATTGAGGCACTTTATCTTTTACTACCTCGTATTTTCCGCGGTGATCGATGAGCATTTGTTCTTGACGGAAGTTCTCGAAAGTTCTTTCTGTAGGAACGAAATGATCTGCTTCTATCATGAAAATAAGCGTCGGTTTCAGTGCGGAAGATTTCAACTTCGTGAATGAATAGTTCGGATTTCCGGAGGAATCGCAAAAATGACGATTGATTCCTNGTGTTCTGGGTTGAGTGTTCCGGACGTATCTTCTGCAAAAATTGAGGCAATTTATCTTTTACTACCTCGTATTTTCCGCGGTGATCGATGAGCATTTGTTCTTGACGGAAGTTCTCGAAAGTTCTTTCTGTAGGAACGAAATGATCTGCTTCTATCATGAAAATAAGCGTCGGTTTCAGTGCGGAAGATTTCAACTTCGTGAATGAATAGTTCGGATTTCCGGAGGAATCGCAAAAATGACGATTGATTCCTGGAAATTGTGGCTTTTATCCAACAGAAGGTGCTGTTATGTTCCATGACGTATTATAGAACATTGGAGTGTATCGAAGATGTTACTTCTGAAGCTCTGACAACACCCTAATCTTCGTTTACAGACATTGAGAAGGAATCCTTGGTCTTTGTCTTGGGATGAAAGAAATAACGTTTTCAGAACTCAGAACTCATGCAGTTAATTTTGTGAAATCATCTTCTCAAACCGAACAATGTGCGAAGTCCCTTTTTTTGGTAACGCATTAATGTAATTTGTAATACGTACTATTTTTCAAGTGACGAAGTTATCAACGTTTGGCTAAAAAAATGTGCAGCAGAAATTCATTGCAACGTCTGGAGCTACGTTTCATTTTGGCTCATCGCGGGTAATCTTGTCGATTGAGATACACGAGGGTTGGTTCAGAACTCTGGATATTAATCTGAGCAAATTTTATGAGAAATTCCGTTAAAATCGAGAAGCTATCAATTGCAGAATCTCGCCTTACTCGAACTGCTTGCCAATTTCAACTGTAGTATTTTCTATAAAAAGCGTAAAATCTATCGGAGGTCTGCGCATGTTATAGACTGACTATTTTGAATGCTATCGAACGTATTTTAAGAATCCCTGTGCCTTGGAATTTTTTTTTAGCCTAGGCACAACTATTGTTTGAGTTGAGTTAATTTTAACGAATAATTTGGGAGGAAAATTGTGATTCATCCGTTGTTGAGGGAAATGTCACAATTACTGAACTCACCGAACAATCCTCGTAATAATCTGTGATTGTAGACGCTAGCAGTCCTCCTGAAGATAGCACACTTCTCCAGTTATGATTGACTAGAATAGGCCAAATTATGCTTCAATTATGCGTTCGTTGGAACGAGTGAGACCCATGTATGCCATGAGACGTCGGGTTCTACTGCTGGAAGCCCTGGGGGAATTGAGGAAGCTATGCTATACATGCGAGTGAGGTATGAAGAAGGTATGAGAATGAGTCTTCCCGGGAACCGATTTGCTATATTGCGAATACTGTAAGACTCTGATGAACGATTATTTTCCATTCTTCCCCCCCCCCTCCCCTCTGCATCAAATTAAGCTATTTGCGGTCGATTCCCGAAGAAGATTTTTGCTGCATTATTTATCGGAAGCAGCTTTTCTTGCGGCCCTCATTTAATCTTGGCTTCATGTTCGCCATGTTTTTTCTTCGCACGTGGCATCACAGTTTTTTGTCTCGTTATCAGTAAATTTCAGATACTGTATCTTGGAATTGTGTCGGTTTTTACGTTCTGTGAAACACAATTTAGAACGGTAGGTGTGAAACCTTGGCAAAGGGTTTGTGGACGAAGGTTCGCGGTCGAAATTTTCTGTAACCGTAATTCTGTTGGAGTGGATGTTCGCATTCTCTTTTTGTTTCCTTAATTTCTCAAAATTATCACGGGAAACAATTTTAAAAAAATTTTTGATGTTATGCTCATGGCGGAGAAAATCATAAGGATGGCGAATCGATATGTTGCCGTAACCTCTATGCCCATGAAACTACGTTGAACAAATCGGGCGATTGCAAACTTTGATCTAATCCTAAGTGGTTGAATGAATCTGGTGTTGTGTATTTTTACTGCTGTGTTTATAAATGATTCGTTTCCTTCCCGGGTGGGGAAAATGAAAGCTTCTCAAAGGTGTTTCTTGCAAGACAAAACGCGACCTCAAAGGTCGCGTTTTGTCGAAAATATTCCGTGAGGTCATGATCGGATTTGACGACACGAGGTGGACGCGTGCGTCTGAATCATGTCGTTCGGAATTCCGTGTCAACCCCGCGTACTGATGTTATTTTGAGGCCCGCAATTTCTTAGTTTTTCTTTCTCTTTCCGGAAATCGTCCTACAACCCACCCGATGAAGGATGATTTGGGAACGAATGGGGAAATTGGACGAATCCTGTGTATATGTTGTGTGAAATCCAAAGCCAGTCGTTAAAAACACAATTTTCTTCTTCGCCTTGTTTCGACGATCTCGTTTTGTCGATGGGGATCTATTTTGTGTTTTCGACGAAGAACGTGAAAAAAATGGCGAGAAGAAGAAAGGTTTCCTGAACTGTGAATTTATTTCTGGCCGAATTCGATATGTTTCAGTGTACTGAATTGGGGAGGATTCTTTTATCGATTCCTACGAGCTGCGATCAAATTTCCGCGTTTGAGTTGTACGTCATTTTATAACCCCGTATCAACGCCCGGGATTCGGGTAACGCGCAGACCTTTTAATTCGATGTTTGCAACATTGTTTGAACGCGTGGCACCGGATAAACTTGTGATGCGTGCGTCCTGGAATCTTCTAGAATTGGGTTTAATGGATTCAGATGAGCGCCTTACAGTATTGACTTGGGAATGCCTTTCGTTTGTTTGTTGCTGCTTTATTCGTTTTAGTTTCCTGAATTCCTTATAATGAAAACTTCACTAATACGGAGATCACTGAATAGTGACCTCAATAGTTATCCCGATAGAATAGTTATCCCGAGTAGTCAATGGCTGTATGATTTGAATACCGTCCCGATGATATCGAGTAATTTCAAGTGAGATGATCGGGATACTCTTACAGTACCGTAGCTTGAAATGTATTTTGTTGTCGTTGCTGAGTTAGTGTGAGATCGGTCGGAACGGTGTAGAATCAATTAGAAGACTATAATGAAGTCACTGTTGATTTACTAAGAATTTTCTTTAATTCTCCCTGATTGATTGAGTGCCTTCTGCACCTTCGGGCATTTTTCCAGGATGACTCACGTTTAATACAACTCATTCCACGATCGAAGGAATAGTTTTTCTTCTTGGAAAAAAGTACTTTTTGCAGACCGGAGAGAGTCCCTTTAAATGCTATTCGAGGATTGAAGTATTCATTGTCTTGTTTAATGTCCTAAAATGCGTTGATTATGCAAGTATCGCATCTTGTCGCCTTTGTGATGGAATTAAGTTGCATCTGACTTCTCTCTGTTTCGATTAGTATAATCTGAGTAAGTAAGATTTGGGTGGTGGTTGAGAAATTGAAATGCGTAATTCGGGAAGAAAAAATGCAAGAACCTCCATTTAATAACTTCGTACGAAGAGAGACTGAAGAAATGTTTCCGCATCGTTTTTCAATTTCGATACAATTTATTTGACGTATTCAAAGGCGATCGAACCGTTGAGGGAATTTCAATTAAAAAAAATTTTCAATTATTCGTGTTCGTATCAAGTTCAGTAGCTGCTCGTTGGTCAACCCGGCCCACATTTCCACGTCTGTGATTGAATCCTTCAAATAAAAAAAAAGAGTCGTGTTTTTGTCAAATGTTCTTCTGCTTTCTTCTTCGCGAGATGCCTGAAGGTTTTTCGAACGAGTCGAAAGCTCTCTTTTTCTTTTCCACCCTCTTATGCCTGCTGTTGAAAGGCGAACAAAGAGGGGGCCTTGCTGTGTGAGAAACCCGCCGTCTGATATGAGTAATATCGTACGAGTCCAACCCCCGGAAATGTGGCGAGTGCAGTCGACTGGAGACGAGAATTCCTTCACACACACGCACACGACAAAAAGAAAAAAAATAAAGAAATAAATAACTGTGTAGAGAAGTGGCAGCGAAATTTCATTGCCGTTCTGTATGCGCTCTTGCTACTTCTTTTTCTTTCCCTGGAAGAGGGAGGTATATTTATATTGTATATACGCATATAATCCGAGCGCTCTGTGTGTTTTGTTTCTCTGCTGACGTGGGTTATAACCAAGCCTGTCTGTCGTGACATGAAAACGTATCCCGCTGAATAACATATCCCCCAGGGATAAGTCTCCTAACCCCGTTTTCCTCTCCCTACCCGCAAGAAGGTGTGTTCGCAGTTTTTGTTTTTTAAAGAATTTAGAATGAGTCGTCATTTGTGGAATATGAGACCTTATGTTTTGATTCAAGGATTTACGAGTGATTACATGAAGAGACTTCATTAATTATTTTACGCTCCACGTAGACCTGTGAAAATGCGAGTATGTCGAGTTTTTCATACTGTATTGTGAAAAGTATACAAGAACGCATCCAGAAATTCAAAATATGCAAGAAGAAATAATGAAAATTGTAAAAAAATGTACTTTGATAAACATGGAAATATATAACCAAAGCAAACTGGGAATAAAATGAAGGGTACTTGATCCTATCAACTGTATGCTACCCGGGCGATGAATAATGTGTGTACATTTTTATGCTTACCCACCAGGAGTTGTGGTTAAACCTTGAAAAGGCAATTAATCAGTGGCATCCTCAGGACTGTCTTTATTGTCTGAAAAAATGAGAGACACGAGGTTGAAATTTCATTAGCTCACGAGAGTTATTCTTGTCCATTGGATCCGTATGAGGAAGTATTCTCGCTAGTGTTGCCACCGAGCAGATGGACCAAAATTGTCATTCTTTCTTTCGGGTGCCAAAAAATTGTATCTTTCCAAAATTTCATTTCCCCCCTGCGAGTTTCAATCTGTCCCACCTTCCTTTCAGCAAAAATATCACGCATCGGGTGTCTTTATAACTGCGTGAAATCTTCACGTTTCTGTGTGTCTAGTGAAGCGTTCATCAACCTGTGCAATCTGGTCCCACGAACACGCTCACTTGGCGAATAAATTTTTGCTCGAGCAGTTCTCGCGTGTTTCCGTCGACTGCTACGAAATGAACGAACAGTCCGCCGTTTTGAATGTGTATATTGAATTTCTTGCCGCCCTGGAAGACGGACCGGGTCGTTCGTATCTCGATAGTCTCTCGTTGAACCGCTCGACATCATTTTAGCACCATATTCGTAACAAAGAAGGGATACATTTTCACTTGAGATATTCGTTTGGCATCGTGATACCCGTGGGGTTTCATAGGGTTTTTTTTTCTTTCCAAGAGTAGAGGTACACTTGTCTTGACTTGCGCAATGTTTCATCACTTCACAGCCGCGTGGAAAAATTAGCGGATGCTGTTTGCACCAGTACTCGTGGAATACAGTTTCTTTTTTTTTTTTAATATTCATTAAGAACCGATGTAAGGACTCGGACGCCTCAGGTACTCGGAAACACGAAGGACATCTTCCCATTAAAACTCTCGGGACGCATTCGTCGTTACGGTCATTATTTTTATGAAAATTTTGACCCATTTTTTTCGCAACGCGTTTCGCTGAACATGGAAGATGGCATGACGAATGATTATGTTTTTATATACAATAGCTAGCGTGAAGAGTCGATTATGACTGGACCATTTTCTCTTGTTTAGTGAGGACAATGTTGATGCGTTAGAGACGGATCAGACGAACCGAGGGCCATGTGAAGGGTCGTCTTCAAGTTCATGACCTTTCGCACCAGATCCGTGCATTGAGGGAACTCGTGAGGCGTGGTATTTGCGATCGTTTTGTGGAATGCTCTGGCCCATCTTGACCGCGTGTTTAAGTCGGGACTAACCGCGGAAATACGAGCGATTTATTCCCATGTCTTACGAAACTTACTGTACTGTACTTCCGAAAGAGAGGAAAGAGAGAGAGAGCGAGAGCAAATCATGGGCTTGGTTTTTGTCCACTTGCGTGGAGGTCGACTTCGGCGAACCCCTTTTTTTGGTGCTGCAGTCGGAAATGTAAGCGGTAAACAGTGGTTATGGAAAAAATGATCACAGTAAAATTATTACAACGAAGCCACTTGGACTAGGGGAAAAAACTATGTTGCTAGGAAAAAATTGGCTACAAGCGAACTCTAGCAGCATTGCAGTGATTGAACAGGACTGAAATATTTGCAATCGATTATTCGCCAGAGCGTTATTCGTTGCAAAGAATAAAAGAGATGCTACTGTATTTCGCCCTATACAGTACGTTTTAGGTTCGATAATACCTTGTCACTCAGTGCATGTGTTTTTAGTTGTACAGTTTTATGACATTTATTACCGAAAGGGTGTTGACGGCGTACAGCACTTGGAATTTCGTTTGCAAGAATTGTTGTTACGTTTAATTGCCTGAGTGTAAATTCTTTTATCCGAAAGATCATGTTCTTTTTTGCGAGAGCGCCGGAAAATATTTTAATGCCTCGAGAAATTCGATGATGTGAATTGACGACCAGGATCAATTGTCCGAATACTGTAATAAAATCGAGGTACTGCACAGGTATTGGAAAGAAAACAATATTTGGAGCAAAAACTCAATTACTGTATTGGAAAAGAAATCATGTGGCTCACATGAATATTGTTTTGCTTGCTCTCAGTAAATCAAAGCTCGGAGTTTTTCTTGCAACGAATTTTTCGGCAACCGCAAATTCAGTCTCGCGGAATTCGGTTTCAGTATTTTATACCGATCCTGTAATCGTACAGTTCGTTAGTTCCCCGTGAAAAAAATCATTGATTGAAAACCTTTGGAGAATTCTTGCAGATTTAGCGTTTTGTCCTTGCTACTCGTTAGTACTGTCAGCCTCGAATGTCTGCTCGTGTGGGTTTTTGTTTGAATATGTCTCCCTTGTCCGTCGCAGAATGAATTCCATCGATTTTTTTGACGTTCGTAGGTTCGCTTATGCATTTGAAAAGGAGCGATTTCGAAGGCTTTTTCAATATTGTATCACCGATGCGGACATGAGAAAACTGTAACTTCGGAGCGAAAGTTAGAAGCAATAAAATGGAGTTTCCATCAGAGATGTCCCGGTTTCACGCGACTTGAACGCTTTGTGAACACGCAACTTCAAATCGTGGATAACAAAAATACAGTACAGTATTGCAGTATTTTCAGAGAGCTACGGTACTTTCACGTTTGGAAGGTCTATTTGAACCAGAAGACAATTTCCTTGCGTGAAAATCATTGCACATGTAACGAGTCGAACCCTTTTTCCTTTTTTGCCCCTTTCTTCAGGAATTGACAGACTGTTTGATAAACATTGGATCGCTGCGTCGCGGATTTGTGCGCGAAATAGCATATCTGAAGCAAAGGTTTTTCTTCCTTCGTCGTGCCCGATAAACGCTTGGCAGCTGTCCAAATAGGATATTTTTATGGATGCTATTTGCGGTCGATCGCTTCGTGACGTATTGTCCATCTTTTCGTGAAGGTTGAACGTTACATAACGCTATGCAGCGTTTTCGAACGTTTTTCCGATCGTTACACGAGTTTAGATACGTGTGGAGACGGTATTAAATGGAGCTACGCGTAAAATCGGGAGAGAAGCTTCATGAAGTTGAAGAGTGTTCAACTCTTGAAATGCATCAATTAGTTTTTTCAATGCTTGGCGATTGGATTTTTATGGAAACCTTTTCTGCGCGAGATGCAAATATTTTTTTTGGCATATAAAAGGGCGAATAAGAACCGTGTACTGTTCATTCACGCTATTATGCAATGAACTTCAGTCAATTGCTATTTTTCGTTTCATCCTTCCGAGCCGCCAGAATTTTCACACATGGAAATAGTAGTGCAGAACTCTAGTTTTTGCGCGAAGAATTATGAATAGTGTGTGCCAGAATGAGGAAAAAATAATGCGTGAATACGATGAAAACTCCTGGAAAGGTTAAAATGTTTTGTCTCTCACATTTGTGGTGAGTGCATTTTTAAGAACTGGAGGCAGGATTTTACTGTGCTCTGTGTCAAATCAGATCTACGATACTGTATAGTAAAAGTTTTTGGACTCATGCGCAGTGGGTGCCTGTGGAGAAAAACGAAACAGTTTTCGTGATCATATTTTGAACTGGTCAGAGTTCAGAATATCATTCGGCGGACTTGGTTGAAATGCCAAGGAAGCAAGAGTTTAATTTCTCGTCTCGAGATGAAGTATTTTCTTCGTCGATTCGGTGTGTCATGAATAAGTTTATGGCCGATTCCCTACTTCTTGCAACCTTCATATTTCTCTCATCATATTACTGTGTTTGTTGACGTGTAACATTCTGAGAGCGGATCGACGTTTTCATGCGAGGATGACAAATGCAGGATTGTAGATTGATGGTACTTCGCCATGGTTGGAGCTGTGGGTGGTCTGTATATTAGTTGGACTCCATGTTTAGTCATGCACCTTCAACTTGCCGGTTTTTGCCATGGACGGGTTTCATGGTCTTCACTTTCTGACAGAATGGGACTGAAAGCAGTCGTCTGTATCTCAGATTGCCTGTAAAAGCAGCTGTAATTCGGAGTCCTGTTCGAGGTTTGGCGTAGAATGAATAGCATCGAAATTTCCATCGGTTTATTATTGAGCTTCCTTTCTTCAGGTTGAAGAAAAAAAAAAGGAGCAGCAATACCTAGAAAATTTACTTTCATGTGAACGGTCTTCCAGCAGGAAAATTGCACGGTTTTCAAGTTTCATTGCCAAGGGTTCGATATTGTGTGTTCATGCAATCTCCTCCATTCTTTGGAACTAAAATTGAAATATAGGGCCAAGGTTTTGTTAATTCACGAAGGAGAGGGACTCGAAAAAAAGCTGTGTGTGAAGTGCACCGCGAATAACCTGAAAAGCAGAAGAAAACTTCCGCTCAAGTTTACTGAGAAATTCAATATTGCGTGAAAGTTTTACGGAAGTTTTTAGATTGGAAATACAGTATGGGGGAAATTTATGTGCAATTCAACATCCATGAAATCAGGGTTTCATATACTGTTCCATGTTGATGGATTTATAAATTTTCAAGGAAATATGTAGATCCGATGGAGGAGGTGTGGTTTTACGGGAACCCGGATATTGATTTGGTCAAGTTTCAGCACACTTTGTGTGTACAATGGAATTGCTGGGCTGAGGTTGATTAGTTGCTGCTGCATTACGTAACTTCAAACATGAGAACGGATTTTTTGGCTGATATGAATTGATGATTGAATTCTAGGCGATCGTTGTACAGTTTAATCGCCGTATTTCCTCGAATGAAAGACGCCATCATTTATTGAAACGTTCTGCTATTCTTGGTTCATTTAGAAGTACGAACAATTTTACTTGGGTATCAGACTCCATTTTATCGCTATATATTTCTTCAGTCTGTCGCTTATGCCATACTCATACTTCATTCGCCCGCCCGAATCATCGGAAACTTCAGGATGATTCCGCTTTTTCAATAAAAAAAACCGCAAATATTGTAGAGGTGGACTCTCTACAAAGAATTTCTCTGCATAAGGATTTTTTTGTGGTCCCATAGGGATCTAGAACCACACGCTGACGTGATTCTCTGCAACGAATGTGTTTCCGGTCCTAGAAGTTCGTTGTGGAGAGCGTCCACATGTAATTGCCAAAAGGCCCCAGAAAATTCGAGTTATGGACGCTTGAGATGAAAAGCCTTCGATTTAGAAAGCTTTTTTATGGATCTTTCCTTGGGGAATTCAGACGGAGACTTGAAAACAAGCAAAGCTAGAAAATTGACGTAGGGAGGTTCGAGTTATCGAGTTTCAACTGTAATATTATTGTTACTACTCGATCATTATTGTTATTACTGTACAGAATAGTATTGTTATTGCTGTAGTATTATTTTTATAACTGTAATATTATTGTTATTACAGTATTGTGTTGTTATTGTGATTATTATATTATATCATTTTAATCTTTATTTTTATTACTTTTTTTTCTCCATCTCAGACGTTCCGTTGAGCGCGCACCTGGACTCGCTCCTTCTTGAGTTGTCGAGGACGGAGACAAGCGCAGAGCAGTCGCAGCGGAACCGGTTGAGCGGCGGCGACGGTGGCACGGAAGAAGAAGACGAGTCGGAGCGGTGTCCGTCGCGCGGGAGCAGCCGGGCTACGGGTTCGGGTGTTGCTGGGGGTTCGTCCCGATCCAAACCCGGGTTGGGTTCTCCGAAGGCATCGAGCAGTGGACGGTACAAGGACCGATACCGGGACAAGGCTCGACGGAAGGCCAAGTGGGATCGTCGGGACGGGAGGAAGTCGTCGTCGCGGGTCGACAGCACGGCTTCGTCGCCGGCTCGGAATGGATGTGAGTATCATTACTGTATTGTCATTGTAATCAGTATTATTACTGTTGGGCGATTAGTGCGTATTTTTGCGACCGTATTCACTCCGACGGCCGTTGATGTCGGAGTTATTTTTTTGATATGCTTAATTTTATCCAAAACGTATCGGTCTTCGGAAATTTTCTAGGATGCCAAGTTGATTCTGCGTTGAATTAACTGTCGCGGAGGGGAAACGTTTTTTTGTTTGTTGGGTAAATCGAAATTTTTAGAGCGCTTTTGTATCATTTTCTGACAACAATCTTAATTTTCCCACCCCCAGATTGAAATTGCCTTGAAATTAGGGAACTGAGATTTAAAGTTGCACACTGTAATCTGTAAGGTAAAGAAGGACAAAGCTCGTCTTTTCATGAATTTCAGGTAACCCTGAATATTTTAAAGGGTTTGCAAATCGTTTCTGTGTTGTACCTTATTCGACAATGTAACGTCATGTTTGTCGTTGATGCTGAATGATGTAAGTAAAGGCTACCCTAGAATTATTCGGAAACCGGGAAGAGACTCTTCGCTACCTCAGCTCAGACCGAAACTTGCACCAATCATTTTAATTTGATCCAAAGCCTGAAAATATAATCTTGAGTGAAACTTTTCATCTCATCGTGCTGAGAGACTGTATCGACCGACATCTCAAATCGTTGAAAATGTTCCCGAACACTTGATATCAATTCCCCCGCGGAAGAAAAAGGTATCCCCTTCTTCGCTGCAACTTGCTTGAAGTTATTTGCGGGGTATATACCGGTTTTTATCTGCTGAGTGTCTCACCCATTCGCGACTCGAGGGTGTTCGATTTCAGTTATCCTGAGTTGACTCAAGAGGAATACGATGGGGAAGTCTGACCTAATTTCAGATGGTCGTTGCCCTCGTACGCGTAGCTTGTCGAGGAAATGCGAGGGAAAAGCTCTTTATCGTAGGAACGTATAGATAATTATTTATGGAACGCTGCATTTCATGGAATGAAGTGAGTGTCTTCAATCATCTCTCATCTGTCCAACATTCGATACTGATTTTGAATGTTGTGTATCTCGTATCGATTGCCGGTTGTTGGCACAAGTGTCTCAGTGTTCCGCCAATTTTTAGGATTCTTACGTCCAGTTTTGTCATTCAAGTATCGATTCTTGCGTTTTCGTTTTTTTCCGCAAGCGATGTCCGCAAATATTCATGGTCTGCCATTTAGAAGACAGAGTTACAATTGAGTAAATAGCATGAGTTGAATGACGGGTTAAAGTAAAGTTGTTCAATTTCTGCACGAGATCGATTTACTGCGTGAAATGCTCGAAAACATCTGGAATTATCGTGAACTTGTGTTTGAAAATTAGTCAGGGAACTAAATGATGTATATCGATTAATGTTCAAATTTTGCACGAGATCGATTTACTGCGTGAAATGCTCGAAAGCATCTGGAATTATCGTAAACTTGTGTTTGAAAATTAGTCAGGGAACTAAATGATGTACAATATATCAATTAACCGTATTTTCGAATTAATTTTTCTGAAGCATCGTCAACGACAATGCGACTAACCCCCTAATTTTGAGTACAGTAATAGGATGACGTACAAGTGCGTTGACGCAACCCAACTCAATTTCGACACAGTTGAACTTTTTTTAATTAGCAATTCCCCGCACTACAAAATACTTGTCAATTTATGAAAATTGTCGGACAAAGGTTTAGTTTAAAAACAATTTTTGGATGCATTTCAAAAAAATCGGGATTTATTCTCGCGTGAGTCTGGAATGGATAATTCAAACACAATCGATGTCCCTTGATCCCGTGCCCGTGAAATTTTGATTGAAATTCGGCATCACTTTCGTTTGGAGTCAACTCATTTTTTTTTTCGTCGAATCGTTTCCCATCGTAAACATTGCCCCTCTTTTTTGACATCGGATGCGTGACGTCGATGCGTTAAATCTGTATGCATGCCCACGTCGCACATATGCGTCGTTGTCTGCCACGAAAAACCGAAAACCCTCGCAGTCTTCGCATGTCGTCGTACCCCGCAGGCAGGAAACGGGGTCATTGTAGTGGGGGGGGGGGGGGGACCTTTCTTGGCATCGAGACGACAACGATGTTGATGATGATCAAGAGTTCGTTGTATTGTAAAACGAGGAGAGAACGTAAAGGGGGGTTTGAAGCCGAGCCAAAGCCGGCCTCTCGCTCTCCTTGCGATTTCCTGCACCATTTACTTCCCCGGGAAGATAAAGCTTGAGGTATATCACATGAACGTTTTTTCTTCTTGGTACACTACAAAAATGTACACGGTATTACTGTTCCCTACCGGATATAGAGCGATTGTGACGTCGAGGGCGTTTTTTTGTGGGTTGGTTTGTTTGTTTGTTGTGAGCTCAATATCTCCGCCTGGATTCATCTGTTATCTTGTTGAGCGTGCGATTCTGGTCCTGATATATACTGTAGTTGGTTGTCATAAAAAGATAGTTCTCGTCGAGCAGATGTCGTGTTTACGCTTGTTCGTGGGATCCTTTTGAAAAAAAAAATCCTGTACTGTCGTATATCACACCAGCTCGGTTCAGCCTGCAGATAATTGATGGAATCCGTTTACTGGAGAGCCCTGGATGTTTGGCACATTCTTGGAATAAGTTGTCAGGCGTACCCTTTCTCGCCCGAAGAATACTGTACGTCCAACCCATCAAGTACCGCATTTCCTCGAGCACCACGACCTCCCATTGAGTTAAATGCACGCCTCAAATTTTCACCCCAGCATTTTGGGGTAATCCTATCTTCAAGGAAGGCATGCAATTTTTAATGACCAAAAAGCTACAGTGCTTCAAAAATAGGAGACACGAGAATTCAAATTTGAACGGGAATTCAAAACCTGAAATCAATTTATTTTCAATTGTTGCGATTTCTGTAAAAAAAAAAACATGTGTGACGAACGCCTCAACTTCTAAAAAATTTTGAAAGCATTATCCCCACCTATGATGCGCACCTTTTTATTACTCTCAATTATGATGAAAATGGTGCGTGTGGTACTTGAGTAAATACGGAAAGTCCTGGGACGGTTCTCAGACGCGATTTCGGAGTCTGAAACCTATTCTAAACGTAAGTTTTTTTTTAATGAATTACCATTCAACATTTCAATCATTCTTCTGAACCTGACGACAATTTTTGACGATATTCTATCGGGTTTCGTTTGGTAAATCATATTTATGTAATTATCTAAATGACCAAAGTTATTTCGAAATTTAATCCTCGAAGGATCGGAGCTTGTATCATGGCTCGTCAGAGGATGAAAGATTCCAGCTGTAGTTTCAAATCATTCATAGTTTCTTCAGCTTAAAATGAAGTAAAATATTACAATTGCAGAGTTCAGTTGTCATCTGAGGTTCTGATTTTGTGTAGCTAATGAAGTTAAAGAGCCTCTTCAGTACAGTGCTGTAATTTCATGAAGGCCCTTTACATCGAGCGAAGAAATCTTATGGGGAAGGGATAAAAAAGTACCCTGGATAAAAAACGAATGTTACATTGTAGAGGCAAATGTGTGCTCACCGTTAGCGAGCGTATGAAGATCAGGTAGAATAAAAAAGGAGTGTAGGTAGTAACCTAGTTTCTAGCAAATGAGCCTCTCGAGAATCCGTGTGGAGCATTGCTTGGAAATTGCTGTCTGAGAACATAGTCTGTGAATTATTATGAATTTTCACATGCAATTTTTTAGAGAATGATTTTAATTTTATATCGGGAAAGATTGTCGAATTCCAGAGAGAGAGAAAATGTAGGATGAAATCCAACGGAGTCCCGTTTTCCGAGAAGAACATTTTGAGACGGAAAACATTTCATTGTGCCCGGATTGACGAGGTGAAGAGCTTTCCGTAGCGGGGCTTTTCCGCCGTAATGTTTAAAAGGTTCTTGCAGTTCTATTTTCTGCAAGTCACGTTGCTGTTGCACGCGGTGGGACACGGAATGCGTCATCTGTCGGCATTGACACAAGCTCTTGTGTATGTTGAGAGGTGACACGCGAGGGTTGCTCAATAAATCCCCTCCCTCTTCTTTATGCGTGCGCTCGCTCGCTTCCTTCCTAATGATATTTTCGTGCCCGTGTGAGACTTGGTGGGCATATTTTCAGTTTTGATTCTCGTTGTCGTGTTTTGCCTCAGTTGGCCGAAAGGGTTGCTTTCACTGGACGAGACACCCGGCCTAGAGAAGTTGGGAAAGGCGCGCTGATATCTAGGATTATCCGAAGGAATGTTCAGCTTGAAAAGCGATAAAGATTAGGTAACAAAAATCATTCGACCTTGAATTTGTCACCGTGAGATTGTAGTCCCTCCAAAGACTGGTATTGTGCGCAAGTTTGGAGCGAATTCCATCACAATGTTCGAATTTTCAGTCAACCTTGTAAGACGATAATAGGGCTTGTCATGATCTGAAGAAAAATTTCGTCGATCAGGAAATTTAGCTGTGGAGGATATTAGCACTTCAAAGAACATTTTCCTGTTCTAGAGAGTAAATTCTATTCTGAACACTTATCGTGTCAACCCTCGAAGTATTACTTAATTCGTACTGTATTTATTTGCACGACGGTATTTTAAGCTGGAACGGAAGTACAGTAGAGTACTCGGATTCTCAGAAGCAATGGATGATGGAAAGACTTGATGAACCGCAAAAATGGGAACAGATGTAAGAAATTTTTTTTTTTGGAGATAATTATGAATGGTGGGGAATAATATGACTTGTCAGAGGCTAGTTAATTGCGGGAATGAAGCGCTGTATATACATATATTTTTTTTATTGATATAAAGGGGTGACTGGTTCACTTTTTATTCTGTTGCTTTCTTCATACATGATGTGCGTCATAAATTTGAATACGGGCGGAGTCTAAGTTTTTTCAGTGTACATCAGTGTTGTTCTTTGATGCCGAAGACGTGCATTTAGGTCAACCCGTAAGTAAGGAAAGACACCATGGACTGCATAAAGAGGAAACCTTCATCACGTCCCCAATGTGGCACTACGCTTCGACCAGCTCGACCAACCGGTCGTCTTCGGCTCGTTGAACCCGCGCGCCCATGGCACTAAGAAGAAGCCAACGATGGGCCGGGGGGAAAAAGGGAGAAAAAAAAAGTTGCCTTGTTTTAAGCTGCTGCTGTGTCCCTCTTCCTCTGGCCTCGTCGTTGAGCATGTCTCGTCGTCTTTTTTTGTTGTTTTTCATTCTTTTATTCTGTCCTGGCAACCCGACGCCGAGATTGGATGGAACTCAGTCATTCCGTCGAAGGAATCCCGTGCTTGAGGCCCATGAATCTTGCTAGATGCCGTCGTCGGTGTGAAACTCGGTTCCTCCACTCCAACCGCTTTTCAATTTACTCTCCTTTCGTTTAAGGGTGGTTTTTTTCTGCTTGTGCCACGTTGTTGATGAGGAAATCCGTTTTGCTGTAAAAGTCTTGAAAAACCCAGTGCTTTTTGATACCGTCTAATTGTATAGGGTGGGCAACACATTTTCGAAGTCCCCCCTGCAATTGAACGTAATTTTTATTATTTCAGTACTTTTCCTCGTTTCAATTGTTTTTATCGTTACACGTTGTCGATAGCGAAGCCGTTGTTCTGTACAATTCTTGAAAAACCCCGTACTTTTGTTACGTTACTCTTATGGGGTTGGCGGAACATTTTCACAGTTCCACTGTGACTGAACATAATTCTTTCAGTATTTTTCCTAGTGTTGATGGTTTTTTTTAACGCGCTGTCGATGGCTAATACGTTGTTCTGAACAATTTTTGTATAACCCCGTACTTCTATAGTCTTACCGTGTTGTGAGAATATTTTCTTGGTCCACCTGCGATTGAACGCTTTCCTCATAATTTCAGTGCTTGTACCTTGTGTTCATTGTTGGACAAGTTATCGATGGAAAATCCGTTGTTCTGCACAATTTTTGAAAAAAAAAAAAAAAACCGGTTACATTTAATGCAGCGTTTGTATGGGGCTGGAAAACAATTTTTTAGTCCACCCGCTATTCAATGCATTTTATATAATTTGAATACAGTACTGTACTTTTCATCCGTGTTAATCGTTTCATTGACTGTAAGAGACGAGAATGAATCAGCCAATCCGTTCTTTCAAGTATTCCAAGCTTTTTGAGTCTCTTTAAATTCAAGCAGATGCCGTCGTCGGTGCGAAACATGGTTCCTGGGCTCAACGAACCAAAATTGAAGCCGCAGTACTGAAGGATAATAAAATGCGATGAGCATGAGCAAGTTCGGATTCCGTAGCCGATTTTCGAGAAAAAAAAAGACATTTATCCGAGCATACTCTTGACATGATTAAATGTTATCCGAAGCAGTAAAACTTTCGATAAACGGAGTTTCTAGGACAAGGCATAATATACTGTACCAATATCGTTGACCTAAGCAAGCCTCGCTATTGAATGTCTTGAGCAGATCGTCCCCTTACAGTAGAATATCAAGGGGCCAGGAAAATAATTCATACCAGAGAGGTTTCGAGTTGAAAAAGAAAACTAGTATGCTTCGCCGGAAATGAACATGACGAATTAGAGGAAACTAAAACCTGTGAAAACTGCAGAAATATATGAGTTGACAGGATGCTGAACTTGGAGGCAAGGGTTCACTTACCCAAATCGTCTTCCACTTCCTTTCCAAACGCATCAATTTTCCCTTCTGCCCTCTTTCCTGTGTCAATAAAATTCGGTTTGCGGTCGAGAAGCCTTCGAGTTCCAGAGGTTTTCGATGCATTGTTTCCAAGGGAATTGAAATGAATTTGAAACGGGGAGGTTTGAGTTATGGAGGCTCAACTGTATTTTCTTACCTCTTGTTTTTTCTGCTATCGTTGCACTCGGTTCCCATTGTTGCCTCACGCTTGGTGGACACCTTGAGGGGGGGGGGGGGGGGGATATCGCGCCATGTTTCTCAGTTGCGTAGAAGCGGTTCGTCATGCGCTGTCGCGAACTGCGCTAGAAGCCCTGCGAAGAGGGGAAAACATGAAAGGAAAAGGGAATAAAGAGGGAGAGAGAGAGAAAACGGCTTGCTTGCACCTGGAAAACTAGATGATTCATGGCTGCCCCGTGGTACAATATTATTTTTTCTTTGAAGACCACCTTTGACTGACTCATTCGTACCTTGCGATTTTTTCCCTTCTCTGGTTTCAAAACTTTCTGGAGCCCATGAGGGAAAAAAAAGCATGGTATACAGTATGTTTAACATACGGATTCGTAATGGTTTGCCCGATTGCTGTGTGTGCTGCCTGTCTGTCACGTGTTGAAAAGGCGAAATGTTGTACAGAAGAGGACATTTTTCTTTTCTTGGGCAAGCCGGGTTAGCCTCGGGGTGCTCTCACGAGTTTTCTTTATCCCAGTTATCCTAAACTTTTATCGTGGCTTTCATGAGAACATTTCGACTGGACGTGGGAAATACTGTACTGTAGAAGTCCGGATTATCCGTGCTGAAGACCTGGTGCTTTTCTCTGGATGATGAAGCATCGCGAATATTCCAACCCTGTAAAATGTGATTGAACGAATATTTGAAACTTTTTCAAGAATGACTGAGATATTCACATTTATTTCTCTCGCGAACCATGGGAGTACACCGGTAACCCTGCAAATTGGTGAACTACGATGATATTTTATTTTGTATGTTTCATCGCGTTCGATAACCCTTTAATCGCATACCCGATTATTCGAAGAGCAGATAATCACTTATTCTACTGTGAAATATGATAGCAGGCATAAGCTATATAACTTACTTAAAAATAATATTGTTAGGCTTCATCCCAATCCAGGACGAAGATTTCTTGAAAAAAAAATAATAATCAGCGCTCAAATCTCACTTCCGAATAGATCCAATGTTAAATTTTGGATACCTTCGAAAAAGCAATGGAATTGAAATCGTAAAACAGTTCATTTGTCGGACAATTTTTGTAGGCACCCAGATTTTCACGAGGTGGTAACTACCTTTCTACAAATATCTCAATACATGCAAAGAAATATTCGCCCCATCGTTCTGGGTTTTATCTTTCCTCTCGATTAAACACGTGGCCTATATTCGTGGAAATGATTTCGTTTCGTTTTTCTTTGTGCTCCTTGACTGATATCCTCATTTGTATTGAAATTTGCATGTATGCGCAGAATGTACTGACGCATTCAAAAGCAGTTCTGCAGTTTCTTATTCCACGCGCGATTGCCGAATATTGCCGGGGAATTTTTGATGCTCATCGCGAGGGAACATTATTGAGGCGCCGTACTTGATGAGTACTGACTACTGACCCCCGAGCGAGCTGATGAATTGCATCGTTCGACGTTCTGATGGGTCTTCGCATTCCGATCCCGCCCCTGTTGTCCCGGACGAGGAAGAGGATTACGTGCCTAGACTCTCCACTGTGTACAGGAGAAACGGGGGGAAATTGGGTGGAATGATGGTTCACACTCACTGCTAATGTTCTTGAGAGATGGAGGGAGAGAACGGACGGACGTGAGTGTTTTTAGAGCACGCAAATGAATAAAAAAGAAGAGTTGAACCGTAGTTTTTCAAATCTACGCGTTGCTAATTTCCGTTCCTTGGATCTGGTTTACGTAACTAGTTGACGTTCCCACGACTAAAATATTTCTATGTAATAAATATTTAGCCGATGTGTCTGTTTTAAATTCCTTTTCTGCGTATCTCTCTTTTGAACCGATTTTTCATCCTCGCTTTTTTTTTCCCCCTCCCCATGTCGTCGTTCCCGCGCTGAAAATTTTGCGGAGAAGCATCGTTTTAAAGTGGGACAGGGGGAACCTACTCGACAGTCGGTTCTTCAGAAGAGGGGATTCAAGGAATGCTGTGCTGCGTCCGAAGTTTATCCCTAAGGCTAGAGGGGTCAGCAAACCTTTTTCCTACTCGGCGGAATCCTTCAGCCTTCAAGAAAACTCTTTCCTGTCTCTGTTGCGCTGTACACTGTATGATCCTCAGTACGCATGTGTATCTAAGTACTGTAGTGATTCAACATCTTGCACTTTTTCTTCATTTCAAAGATATTGATACGATGCTGGATAAGACGATAGTTTCTCCTGAGATTATCGCTGGAACCCCGGGAAGACGTCGAATGAATCTTCGAACTTATTACGTAACGTTCCGTGAAACGACACGAAATTCAAGGGACGCCATCTTTTGAGATGTCGTGAGTGTCGGGCGTTGAGGGGAAAATTGATACGGAATTGACTGAGATGCACAGTCTTGTTCGGCAATTAAAAAAATTTTTTTAAATAGAAAATTCAACCTCCTGTGAAATTTTTATGATTTCACGAGCAAAACACACGAAAACATTTCCGCGAGAAACGATAGAGCACGAGCTCTATGCGGAAATTGTGAGAGTTGAAAATTTAGCTTGATGCATAAACGCAAGTTGTCGACTTGAAGATTTCTTCTAGTGTCGACATTAATTCTCCCGAAAGGGTTGCTCACCCCACTGACTGCGTAAAGCCGCGTCTGTTTATTCATGCGTTTCGCTCCGTATATCAGCTTCGCGCTCGGAGATGCGGGACTTTAATTATGCATTTCGACGGCGTTTTCTGTCTGCTCCAGTCTGTGTTTTCCCTCACTTCCTTCCTTTTTTATTTTTTGCTCTCTCCTCCGTTCTTGCAAAAAAATAATTTCTGCGTTGCTTGAAAACAAAGATCCCCTCCCCCCGGGGCTTTGCTTGCTTGCAGATTATTGTTTTCTTTCTCTCTTTCTCCTGCACTCCGTGTGCGTGAGGTGAGGTTGCGTTCTTTTTGAGCGACAAGGAAGCCGATCCCTGGGAAAGTGACGTGGCGTCATGCCTTAATTCAAGATTCTTTTCTCGTGCCCCGCGACTTCTGCTGCTGTACGTCCTGCATCGTCATCAGACTTGCCCTTTAAAGCCGCAGTTTTCTGCCCAGTCTCTCGATTCTAGATTGATTGCGATTTTTATTGACTTTTGAAAAGAAAATTTCTTGTCCGTTCGCCGAAGTTCTAGATTATGGATATTCGGGTTTGGAAGCACGTTACCTTGATGGAAGAGACATTATCAAAATTTGCATGCGAATTTGAAGAAGGGG